TTAGTCTCAAAGTGGGTTCCTCGTCATCGAATTTATACATAGACTTAGTTTGACTTACATATTTTAAAAACAACTAAGTTTGAGGTTGTGTTCGTGTGTTTTTGTTAGGTTTTTGTGTAGTTTTTATTATTACGTTTTTGGATAAAACATTTTCTAATTCTTTGGTTTAAACTTTGTGTTTTTATCATAAATCTTAAGACTTTTGGTTTTGGGCACTTAATCTTTTTTCAGGGTTTAAAGCGTAATATTTAGGTTATACAGCGTAATTAGAAAAATACGTTTTGGTATGTATGAAATATCGATGGATTTCTGATATTGTCATAATTTGGAGAATAAACTGAAAGAAAAGTAAAATCATTTAAATAAGAGTTTGATATGATTTTCAGAAAATTATGTAAAGTCACGAACTTTGGCGTGGTACTACTCTTTTTCTGTTGATTAAAATCTAATATATATTAAAATCAGCTGTCATTTTATGTGTTTGTAACGCTCATATTACGAGTCATATTTTTATTTAACTTTACACTATTCTTATTGATTTTTTTAGATTTCCTTTAAAATTCCTATTTTCTCCATGTGTGATTGTTTTTTTATGATGAAGGAAAAGTTTGGTGAATAAAGCTCACTGACGGAAAGGAGGGGACCCCGGGGAGTTTTTACAAAACTGTCAGTTTTTAACGGGTCATTCAGCTAGTATTGTATAACGGCTTGCTCTTAATAAACTAATAAATATTGTTATAAAACGTCACAAGCAGACAAGAATAAATATACAAGTATCTCTACTAAACTTTTGTAAAGTAGGATAAAAGTCTGATTCAAAACATTTTATCTAAGAAACATAAATATTTTAGAGTAATAGTTATCACTATTATTTGTCCTGATTAGAGTAAATCTATGTGTAAAGTGCTTGACTCTCAACAGGTAGTTTACTAAAATTACAGAGTAACAGGGATAATCGTTCATTCAAATAACGTTTAATTTTACTAGACCAAACTTCTGATTTTTAACGGTTAAAAAATAATACTTGGCGGTAATAATTAAAAATTCTGTCAGATTGTATCCGACTTCACACTTGGTTCAGTAGAAAATGCTAATAGTAGGCGATGTTCTGTTCTTATTGGAGTTCCACTGGAAACACAAAAGCTACCTGACGTAGTATATCTCAAAGCAGAAGTAGCTGCACTTTTTGCCTGTTCTATGAAGAACATGTTCGTGTATACCCCAGTGTGGTTTAGCATACAACTCTTCTTTATGATACATTTCTCTCTTACCATTCAGTAGTTAGTTCATGAACCATAGGCTGCTTTTTCGAGACAGAGTTTTTTTACCTCGAACCTCTGCAGAAGATATATAAAAAGTGCTTTCATGTTCTCCATGATGCCGTGCCAACAAATATTCTAACTTTAGCGCTTCGTAGTTTTCTAGTAGTCTGTGCTTGTAGCGAATAGATTACACACATATTTAATCTTTGTTTCAAAGACATTATAAGTAACCTTACTTACATATGACAATTTTCACTTAGGAAAAACAAATATAAATTAGAAAAGAAAGCATTTTAATTCTAATATTTCTTTGCTAATATCATTTTTTAAATGCTGCACGTTCATGGCAAAAACTATTCTTGCATAAACAACCAAATATATAACATAGTATTTCATGAAAATGGTCCCTGCCTTAGCACTGCACTTCTACATCTGTATGACCATACAGACTATAAAAATCCGTTGTGATATTCATCTTTCACGGAATAACAATGCTCATACAAAACAAAACAGTATACACTCTTGTTCACAGTACGTAACAAAACAATGAACACTTATTTCCATAGTCCACAATGAAGAAAGATAATTCTTATTCAGAATTGATAATAAAACAATGAACATTCATTTCCATGGTCTACAATGAAGAAAGATAATTCTTATTCAGAGTTGATAATAAAACAATGAACATTCATTTCCATGGTCCACAATGAAGAAAGATAATTCTTATTCAGAGTTGATGATGAAACAAAGAATATTAATTTCCATGGTCTACGGTTAAAAAAAAACACCAAAAACCTCATAATTAGGATCAATAATAAGTCAATGAATATTCATTTTCTATGGCCCACGATTAAATATTCGACTCTTAAAGTTCTAAACTTACACGAAATCAATATAATCTCTTCGGTTAAGAATAAAACAAGTATCATGTATGTTGTAGAAATAATATGGTATAACTTTATTGTGGCTAGTAAATCATTAAAATAGAACATAAGGAAGAATCGTTTATTGGGACAATCTTACTACTTGTCATTTTTATCTCCATCATTCTTAATGAGACCAAAGAGAACAAATCGCTCTGGAGTGACTGTGTTATTTGAAGTGTTCTGGCGTTCATATGTTTTTGCAACGCTTAAAAATTATGTTTTTCCATCAATAGATGCAAAAAGCATACGGGGGTTATCAATCTGAAGTGTTCGTTATTCAACATCAATAAACATGTTGTTGTGTTATCGTTAATCGGTCTCAAACATCGGTGCGGTAATTCGGATAGTTGTCAGTGACAATAACGTCGTAATGTGGGTGAAGTCTGCAATTCGTTTCTAAAGGCGAACAGACTTCTGAGGGTGATGAATAATAGTTTCCAGAACTTCTGTTTGGAAAAGACGGACTACACTCCAGCTGTCGAAGTTGCATATTGAGGTTTTGGGTTTGTGACATTGATTTGCCCACACGACGACGCTTCCTGTACACTATTATACCTACCACACTACATAGGACAACCAATGAAACAGCGGCACCACAACCTGCAAGAAGGGGAATGTTGCCTGAAAGAAAAGAAAGAAATTATGTTGGGCTGCAACGATATTGCCTGTGTCAGTTACAAGAGCGATGCACATGTAAGATAGGGGATATCAAATTATTTTGTGTTTTAATTAACTGGCAGTGTTAGGTGTTATAAATTGAATGCTTTTATTAAACGTCTTGAATGTCAAAACTAACACCAAAGTTCCTTTAAAAACTTTCTTGGAAACTGAATATGCAGAGAAACCACCAACCATCAACATTCAACTTTCGTTGTTTAATGTAACCATCAACATTCAACTTTCGTTGTTTAATGTAACCATCAACATTCAACTTTCGTTGTTTAATGTAACCATCAACATTCAACTTTCGTTGTTTAATGTAACCACCAACCATCAACATTCAACTTTCGTTGTTTAATGTGTTGATGGTTGGTGGTTACATTAAACAACGAAAGTTGAATGTTGATGGTTGGTGGTTACATTAAACAACGAAAGTTGAATGTTGATGGTTGGTGGTTACATTAAACAACGAAAGTTGAATGTTGATGGTTATTCAACTTTCGTTGTTTAATGTAACCACCAACCATCAACATTCAACTTTCGGTGTTTAACGTAACTCTTAAATCATAAAACTGAAGATTTTTCTTTTTATCAAATATAAAATTCAAAATATATATGACATAGAGGCCAAATGCATTCTTTGATGCACCGTTTTTGCCTATTCAAGGGTCGTCAACGCGGATTTATTTAGCAAACCAAAGAAATACAGCCAAGCCTCTTACAGTGGTTTGTTTGTTTGTGTGTTTGTAATTAAGCACAAAGCTACACAATGGGCTATCTGTGCTCTGCCCACCACGGGTATCGAAACCCGGTTTCTAGTGCTGTAAGTCCGAAGACATACCACTGTGCCACTGGGGGGCCTTACAGTGGTGGTGTGTGTATAATTTTTACGGAGTTTCTAAGTCATTTTTAATTCACGATTTAGTAACATTAATTGATTTAGATGTATGAATAGTATTATGGCTAATTTATTTTTCTCTATTTTATAGTGGAACAACTGTTCAACGATAGCATTGTAAATCTATTTTCTTTTTACTGAAATTGAAAATATCACACAGGCCTGTGAATTTAAACTTCATAAAAGTGGTCTTGGTTTTAATAACGGAATTTCCATAATTCAGCTACGCAGATTTCGAAAATAATATTCTTTTTTTGTCACGTAAGGATTTTTTACAAATCGGGAAGAAAAAAAAACTTATTCTGATCAAATTATTATTTCGTTTACCGCAATGAACATTATTTTACTGGTATGTTTCTTAACAAAAATACAAACAAACTGGAGAAAAGGGAAGAACATTGATATCAAACGAATATGCACCCTCATTCATCCTGATTTTTTGTGAAATCGACGTCTTTTAGTCTCAAAACTATGTGTTGTGGTCTTTTATTTATGTATTACGTTATGGCGTTTTGTGAAAAATATGTACGTGATGAAGAAAAATGGATATAATTTTCGGATTCAGCGTACAGGAATTACTGTAGAACATGTAAAAATATCAAGACAATAAAATTATCACTGCAGTTTCCCTTATATATTTCGCCTATAAGTTTTTCATTAAAAACCAAAGAAATATAGTTAATAATATTTACACACCTAAATCATTCATCTAACCTATAGAAAAGCCAGTGTTATCACATCACACTTGATTTCTCAAAATAGGAGGAATCATAAAAGCCAAATTGCATTTATATTCAGATAGAATAGTTCGATTACTATCTGCCCATTATGATTTTAGTGACGGGGATGCAAGGGGGCCGTGAGGGGTGTCGTGAAACCTTATAAGTGCATGTAGTGAGTGTTTAGATCACCTATCCAAGAGTCAAGTGCATAAAATACATCATGAAAGTAAAAATATCGATTCAATTTTAAACTTAAATCGGTTCTGAATTAAGCTATTTTCTGTTTTATCACAAACGTTAAAGGCAATTAGTGTTACCAAAACGCACTGGCTTTTCTGTATATTATAAGTTGGCAATCTAACTGACTTTTTCCAATACGCCACGAATTCATTTCATGAATGATCTTAATTTTGATTGGCTCACAAAGGAATTTGCCAATGTTTCACTGCCTCGACTGTACTTTTCCGCCTCTTTGTTGATCAAGCTTGATTTCGCAAAATTGATTTATTTCACGTAGCTATGAAATGTGAGGTTAGGGTATGCTGTGGGGTGAGGGTGGTAGTACTTGCCCCGTCAAGAAGTGACGTGCTATACGCTAGTATATAATAAATCATGGCAAATAATCGAATGAAAAACAAGCCGAACATAATAGAGGCAAACAATGTGAAGACATAAATTCAATGAGTGAATGAAGGTGTACATCAAGTAATATTGTTCAAAGAGGTACAACAATAAGTGTTCTTTAGTAAGTGGAGTAAATCTGATTCTCTATATGTACCCAACAAACAATGAAACATGAGGACCTCTTTTTGTACCCATATCAACAGTTTTTGTTTGTTGGTAAAATTTACCACTAAATGAGAATCTGTTCTGGGTTAATACAAGTTTGGCAAGACGTTTGTTCTTTTTTTCTTTCACCCTAATGAAGGGCTGTTGTTCGAAACGTTGTTTTCGTCTTCATCAATAAAATTATTCTAATTTTGCGAGCTTTTCATCATTATTATTTTTTATTCTAATTTCCTCGCTCAAGCAATTATTTTATTACTAGAGCTCACTATTTAAAGTTGACGTCAACTTATTATTGAATAAAAGAATCATGATATGCTTTGAAGACGACCTAGGTTAAACATATACAACCAAGTTTCTTAACAGTAAACAGACAAAACACTTATACCGAAGTGATATTAAATCCTGTAAATAATCCTTCTACATTCGTTATGTAAAGTAGTGATGTCTTATCAAAATCAGAAGGAGCTGAAGTGTTTTTGCTTCATAGGTTAAAATATGTGACGCTGTTAAACAGTTTATGTAGTGGTAGGACCTTAGTTTCACCATAAACGCAACAGTTTATTTAATGATAGTTTTAGTCACATCTAAAATATCATACCGTTAAATATTTCATATATTGGTAGAAACTTGGTCCCACCTGAAACGTAATGCTCTTATACAGTTTATATTGTGGCATATCCTTAGTCCCACTGAAACGTAATGCTCTTATACAGTTTATATTGTGGCATATCCTTAGTCCCACTGAAACGTAATGCTCTTATACAGTTTATATTGTCGCATATCCTTAGTCCCACTGAAACGTAATGCTCTTATACAGTTTATATTGTCGCATATCCTTAGTCCCACTGAAACGTAATGCCGTTAAACAGTTTATGTGGCTCATGTTTAGTCCCACTTAAAATGCTTATGAACAGTTTTCTCATAGAAGTTAGTCCCATCTGAAGCGTCATGGTGTTTAATACTAAATCTATGTCCATATAATGATCCCATCAAATAAAGGATCACTAGCTGACGTACTTTTTTTTATATGCACTAGGAAGACACAAGGGTCACGAGGATATAATGGGTCAGATCCGAACGCCAACCCCCTATGTCACATAGGGTATGTGCCAGGTTTGGTAACAATCGATCCAGCCTACAAATGTCAAGTAATGATTGAGAATTATTATTATCTCATTGTTACATTCAAAGTGTTGCTGAAGTGTTCTCTGAGCCATACACCATATCCGTATTAAAATAATCTTAAACTTTTACACTCATGTTGATCGTTAGAACTGATGGAGTTGAGTAAGTTGTTGTTCGAGAACTATTATATTATAAATAATCAATATCTATGAATCAACTTGTTTAAGATAATCTAATTTTTCTTTTTGTTAACTTACAGTTTCAGATAAGGTACACTAATTGTTAAGTTATTCTGAGTGCACTTAATGTGATCCTCTTCGCTGACATCGTTCTCAGAACGCTAATTGTTAAGTTATACGGATGGCGTTTCAGCGTATACTTAGTGATTCTCGTCGCTGATATCGTTCTCAGTATGCTTAAAAGCGTCATTGATCCTTGTCGCTTAACATCGTTCTTAATACGCTAAACGTTAAGTTACTCTAAGGACATTTTAGCAGGCACTTACACTGATCTTCGTCGCTAACATCGTTCTCACTACAGTTGGGAAGTCCGTTGCACACGAGCGAAGGATCGATACAATACTGCCGGGTCTGAGCACACATTGGAGATCCTGAGTTCACACAAAACTGACTAGTTTTGCAGGTGAAGCCCTCACATTCTCCTAAAGCGATAATAAACAACATTTCTTATATATATAAAATATATATATATAAGACAAGACACGTGAAAATTATAAAAATTAATGTTTCTTATGGTTACATTAATCGTACATAACGGATGCTTTTAAACCTATATTTGTCTAGCCCCAAACGATAGCATCTAGAAATTTTTCTTGGTTACGAAACACATTTTAATTTAAAGCTGCAGCATCTTCCGTTAAGTTGTTTAAACATCATTCGTTGCGCAGTTGCGATAATTAAATGGATTACGTTTGCTGATAACAGCTCTTTTACGATAAGAATAGAGAATATTTAAACACATTAAAATATATTCAATAACTACGTATTTCCTAAATGAAAATTTTAAACGTGTACAAGAAAACTAGTGTGATATTTAGTAAACTTAAAGTAAAATAAATAAATTTAAAAGGATGTACAAAACTATGTTAATATCAGTGCTTTAGGCTTAATTGATTCGTACTAAAATTAAGTAACAAAGCTATTTCCAGCTTAATGTTAAAAGATGCTTTAAAAGCTTATCTTGGGGAGCAATAACAGAAGAACAGTGTAGTTATTTGGATAGGCGGTTAATGAGTTTTAATTCTTAGTTATTTTTTCGTGACGTTCATCAGCCGTTCTTGCTGCTTATGCACTACTTCAGATATCTGAACACTTATAAGGATCTTATGAGCGAATTACTGGTGTCGTATGTTGTTTTTTAGTAAAAACATGTTCAGTTTTTCTTTATTATTTAGTTTAATCAAACTTATTGATTATAACTTTTACAGTAATACTTTTTTAACAGTACGTTTTACTCAGATGGAAATTATTTTTCTTTATTAGCTCAGGCAATACAGTAACGTACCAAAAATTGTAGATTAAATACTAAACAAGGAAGGACGTAATTTAAATCATAGATTATATCCTATAAGAACGACCCTTGGTTGCATTCTACACCAATAAGGATGTTAAATATACACGACTGCGCGAATAGCACGAGTGTTAAATTTAGTTATTTCTAGAAGCGATAGTTTATCGCAGGTTTGTTTACGTAACTGTGCGAATCATACGTAAATTGGCGATTGTTGTGTTATTGCGTCATATTACTACAACCTTCTAAGTTTTCTCGTGCATTGTTACATTATAATCTCTCGTACTGTGTGGAAAGTTTTAGGCCTCATTTGGTCTATTTATAAATACGTGTCCAAAATTTAGTTCATGTAAGACAAAGTTAGACAGTTAGCTAGTTAAATAGACAGATAAATCTAGACTGTGTGATTGTGAGTTTAACCGTGAAGAGCGTATGGTGGCGATTTTTTTTAAGTGAAATGATCGTATATTGTATTGTAACAACACCATTTAGACCCGCAACTACATTCTTTACCATTCAGATATTTAGATTACATCCTTTACCAAAGATAACTATAGGTTGCATCTTTTACCAATAAGATCTGTAAGCTATATCCTTTACTAATCATAACGTAGGTAAAGTACTGAGGTTGTTCAACGTAACAACCGGAGTATAGCAAAACCTGTAATTACATTACATACCAACAATTTCGTAAACAAAAATAATAGGTGATACTCAACACAAACCATAATGTAGACATTTCCGTGAATATATTTTCTCTAACCAGAATGAATCTATAACCTGCAGATTATACCCTACAATGTTCAAAACGAAGCTAAAAGCATTCCAATCAGAATCTATGAAATATCCATAGGTAGCATCCTTTACCAACCACAGTTCGTAAGTTTCACCCTGTATACATCAGAATGCAATTAAGAACCCTTGGCTGTATCCTGTTCAATCAAAGCGAAACAAACTCTTACATTATGTCGTACACCAACCATGACGTCACAAAACTCGTACACATATCATATAACTGTTACGTCTCCGTGTGTTAATTAATTTTCCGTAACTTCGTTTCAACGAAACTTTAACGACACA